TTGGGCATTGATAATTTGCCTAAAGCAGACGTCTTCTTAATACTTCTCTAGTGCGTCTGTAAACTCAGCTCTCCGTAGCACTTATCTTTCTTCTGCAAAGTTAAGCCTTAGTGACCAGTCAAGAAAAACGGTCTTCTTTTCAATTAGATTAATTTATCATTTGCACTAATCTAACACCAAAAGTTAGCTTAAAGTTGCAATATAACATACCGATATTGAGGAGTGGTTAATTATTTGCTTAGTGAAGAGTTGGTAGCAAAACTTGCGGAAAGAAGAACTTATACAATGCGTGGTTGTTGAATATTCCCGGTAGTTACTAACAAGTGATTAAATTACACCAGCCTAGCGGCTGAGCAGATGTTATCGGTTCCCAAAGTGGAGACAAATGACGGTCTCCTCATAAAACGGATTGTGTGAACTCCTCCTGCTAAGCAAAGTAAGATATCTCACTCTAGCTAGTCTTCTCCCTCAAAAAGTCCAAAATGAGGAAAAAAAGAAAGAAGAAATTTTATTTTACTTATTTATAATAGTAGCATTGTTAGTGCTTTTGGAAATAAGTTGCAATAACGTGAGGCTTTCGAAATTATGGAAAATAATCAAGCCATATTTCCTAAATATTATCTTATCTTACCTTTCAAGGGCAGGACATATTGTTGCTGTAAAGAAATAACTTAGGTTCGATTAGACCCCTTCTACTCTTAGCAAGATTTTTTTTAAATTTTTTGACAAGCTGACAAGTATAGGTAACCTCATCTGTTCCATTGCGTCCTTGTCGAACAGGAATTAGCCTGAACATTTTTGCAAATTTCAAGGTGGTGGCTGGTGCTTTGGATCCGAGGTTTGTCAAAAATTTACCATTCAGTGGTGAGTCATGCGCTTGACATGCGTCCGTAATCTCATTGGTTGGTTGGGTCGCGTGACTCGCGAATTTGCAAAATACGGGCTCCCTTTTCTTATGCCCACCTTCCACGCCTCTTGAGACAGAACGGTCAATGTCACTGAAAATGTTTGTCCTTATGGTGGTTTGAGGGTCACATTTAACCGGATTAGTTAGGTTTAATCAGGTCTTTTATCAATGCGCTATTTTGTCCTTCTAGCACAGATAAATTTCGCGTTTTGAAACAAATATCAGACATGAATGCCTCAACTTGTTAGTAGCTTAAGTCGGATCACCAGGCCCACCACAAGTGTACTAAATGTGGCATAATCACGCGACATATTAGTCTGGATACACAAACGTACTAAATTCTCTCCGGCAGTAGTTCGTGAGATCTAGAACCGGGTAATTTTTGTGATCTCAATTTGCGTGACCTTATGCGAATGCAGTTCGGGAAAAATCGATATGACGAGTGATTGACACTCATCGCACCGAAATTTACATCATTTAGCAAGTCTTGCTCACATGAAATGAAGTTAAAATAAATTCTAAATTTGTTTAATTAAAAAAGAATTCAAAAACAGCTAAAGTTCAAAACTATATTGTTCTCGTAAAATAGTATATTTTCGGTAATAAATACCTAATTTCATAATTTTTAGCTCTTATATGCTAATTGCAGCTCACAGGTGTTTGATTAATTGCGAAAGATGCACCTAAAAAATCCGTAATTTGTCTAAAAACAAGTTGCATGCATCTTAGTACCACGCCATAAACCGACGCGTCTGCTAGCAATCAGCACCATTATTCGCAAACTGATTGGTTGGACGATATCGATCAAATGTGGTGGCAAGGGTCTGAGGACATGCCATATAGGCTGTTTGTCGTACGCGCGCACACCACCTCCAACACTGGCAACCATCGATCGACGCTGGTTAAGTTGCTAGCTTAACACACACGCAGCCTGCAGCCGCTAAGGCTCTATCCCTCGTTAACACATGCAAAAATTGAGAGCTGTTTTATTAAAACCCAGTTTTCATGCCTTTCTACCCGCTCGAACGCGTTCAAACTTAATAGGACAATCAATATTGCCATTCTCCCACCATACGTTAAGTTTGATGTCAAAAGGTCATTCCTCAGAGGAGATATTGCCCCTCAATTTGCACAAAGTGGGTTCGAACCGAACGGCTTTCCGGGGTTTTGCCTAGCGCGTTTAGCGCACTTAGTTAGAGCAGCACGCGAGCACCGCGTGCAGACTTTAACCAATAGAAAGGCATTGTAGTGTGACAGACAGACGCGTGCGTCGCGCGCCTCAAGTGCGGTAGTGTGCACATTAAGTGCGGCCGTACAACCCCACACGGAAATGTCTACACCATGCAGACCCTAGGGCCGCAGCCCCAAAACCCCATGTTCACCGCCCCTGCAATCCCAATTCCACCATCTTCGAGGCGTGACTAAGCGCTACTCCATACTAGAGACGAACCCCACCTAACCGCACTTACCTGGGGCAATGAACACAGAAACGGAGCAGCCACGACACGACTGCAGCTCACGAGGAAACCACCCCTCTTAAACAGAGGCTTGAGCGACACGCTAAATGGTAAAGCGGATTTAAACCGCCCCAGAGCGGAAGGCTTACCCACCCATCCGCATTCCCCAAGAGACGAAAAACTCAAGAAACAACCATTGAAAAAGACTATATTCGAACTCAGTCTAAAACAAGATGAGAGAAAGCCACCCAATAAAACACGAGCAAGGGGTGCCAAGAGCTAAAAACAGCATAAATGCGAATAATTTATATGGATACACACAACGAGTACAACAGATAATTGTTTATAATAGTAATAACACCAAGAATTACAGAAATTTCCCTAGCAAATAAAAAGCTCCGCTGTCACGCCCCATTTACGCCCGTTCGCCACGGATGCGACGAGCCAGTTGAATGTCTTTCGGCATTATGGTGACACGTTTGGCATGAATAGCGCATAAGTTCGTGTCCTCGAAGAGACCGACCAGATATGCCTCGGACGCCTCCTGAAGAGCACCCACAGCGGCACTTTGGAAGCGCAAATCGGTTTTGAAATCCTGAGCGATCTCACGAACCAATCGTTGGAAGGGCAGCTTACGAATAAGTAGCTCGGTAGACTTTTGATAACGACGAATTTCCCGAAGAGCGACCGTGCCAGGCCTGTACCGATGAGGCTTCTTAACACCTCCAGTCGATGGTGCTGACTTGCGAGCGGCCTTAGTGGCAAGTTGCTTACGTGGCGCCTTTCCACCGGTAGATTTGCGTGCGGTCTGCTTGGTACGAGCCATTGATCCTCAAGACGGACGGAACCGAGAGCACCCGAACGACAGAAATCCAAAACAGAAATACAAAGCGGCGACTTAAGACCAATTTTTAAACGTTACCACATTTAAACAAAAGCAAAGTAAATAAAAGGATCTTTGCAAAAAATCTAAATTTTTTAATAATTACACTAATTAAACCACTCAAAAAATTAAATATAACTTGTGGCTTCTGATGCAAAGCAAATGCATTTCGAAGAATATTTTCAATTGTAATGCTAGTAATTGAACCAAGCATTAGAGGTTCATAAATTCGGTATAATTAGAAGCAACTGTTACTCGTTTCCCTCACAAAGGTGCTACGATGAGTGCTTTGACTCATAATATCTTTCAGCTAAGAAGCGTTTAGGAAGCGCACCTTTTATAGAATGTTTCGTCGGAATTCCCTGACCTGGATCCTCCCTCCCCCACTGACAAATTATTAATAACGTTGCTCCTGTTAGATCAGTTGGCTCGTTAGTAGTTTAGCAGCGTAAAAGAAAGGAATAAACGATGAATCTTTGCAGTGGTGGCAGCGTGGCCTGGCCTCGCCCCGTTCAAAACAATGCAGACTTGAAAATTGGCTCCCAATCGCCAAATTCAACCTCTGCCTCTACCTTCCACATCACAACTCATTCTAATTTTTTTCTGCTTTTTAAAGCTGTGTTCCTGTTTCAAAATACGCCAGAATCTCTACCGACTCTAACCTGGAACAGTGGTGCGACAAATTATCCCATCCTGTCATTGACCGGCACGAGAAGTCTCTTGCTGGAGACTTCTATTAACGCCACCAAACCATAGGTCATGAGCAAAGAACTTTCATCTTTTAAAAGAGCGAGTTATCTGCAGCCCGCTCCCAAACAAAATTCAGTTCGAGCACATTGTTTGGTTACTCCTTGTGGTTGGGAAGCTCTGCGGCACAAACACTAAATCCCTCCAGCAGTTGGTCAAGTTTGCAACCAGGAGGCTCTAAAAGCTGTCTATGATCTCAAATTACAGCAACTAACACAGATGACTTAATCAAACACCTTTATGTCAAGGCCCTCCTCATTAAACCGCAAATTTTGACGAAGCCCCTTTTTCCACATCCTGGTTTCTCTTAACTGGCTTTTACTCATTCTAGCAAGCCCCAGGCAGACTAAAAGGTCTATGCTACTTCCTTTTTGACTTTAAAGCGGTTTTATCTGTAGTTATTATTAGTGTTTTCCTTACTCTTTGTCACAAGATTAGGATCTCCTCTCCATCTATAAGTTTATCTTTAACAGAAACAAAAATAACGGCAAAAGGGGGGAGGCTGTTAAAAGTCGCTTTAGGCTTAGAAAAACTATCACTGAAATTTATTATATGTCCAGAATTGGTCCGGAACGTGATTCCTAATGCTGATTATCTACGTAACGCCATAGCCATCCTCAATTTTGTGAGGAACATCTCCACCCTGTAAGGTGTTGACTCCAGTATAGCCCTTTAGCTAACGAAGGAAGACGGGAATGACGTGTGCATTGCTCTCTTTGGGTCCTCAGCTATCCCGATTAACAACTTAGATGATCTTTTTAGGCAGCTGACTTTTGTTACCGTTGGAAAAGGAAGAGAACTTCTCGAGCTGCTGATTTAGTACACGAATATATTCTCAGGATAAGGACTCAAGCTGAGACGGATAAAAGACGGGAAGCATGCGATAGATATCAGCGAAGCTACACCAATCTAGTGACTACCCAGATGCACACAATCTCCTCTACTAAGTGAAGCAAACTGCCTCTGCAATTGCGCTAGTAAAGAGGAATGGCTGAAGTCTACGACTGTGTTAACCATGGGAAGATGAATGCAAAAATGTAGGGAGACGCCTTCTCATTGCCCCACATCTTCAATTTGTTAGACCTCGTATACAGATCAAACTGGGTTTCCATAATAAATTTAAAATACGATACTGGAGAGTGAAATTGGCAGAAACGGACGGAGAAGAGACAACTTTTATGTTGTAAATGGCCTTTATGAATTACAGACAATGCCTTTTGGGATCTGTAACGCAGCAGCCACCTTTCAATGCCTGATGCAAACCACATTAAATGGGCTATCTGCAGAACAATGCACAATCTATCCAGATGATACCCTCGTCTTCGGTAGTGAAAGTCAAGAGCTTGGTGCCAACCTGAGATTAGTGTTGGACTGTCTGCGAGTCACGAGATTGGCCCTGAACCCAAGGAAATACTGCCTTTGATCAAATTTTTGGGACACTTTCTCTTCAGATGGGATGGCAGTTACCAAAGACCGCATAGAACAAGTAAGGACATGACCAAAACAAGCCAAATAAACCAAAATCCGTAGTTTCCAAGGTTTGGCAAGTTGCCACAGGCATTTTGTTAGAGTATTTTTCCTAAGATCGAAGGTCTGCTGTCTAAATTATCCGAAAAGCAGGTGAAAATAAATTACAAGTAGAAGAAAGAACTAAGGCGAATGCTTTTTTCCGTAGTTACTCTAGCGTTTCCCAACTTCAAATCGAGCATCCCATCGTTCGTACTAGAGACTGACTTAAGCTGTGCAGCCGTAGGCAGAGTACTCTTACAAAGTGACGACGAAGGAAGGTACACATCATCGCCTATCCAAGTACCGGGCTCAGCAACAAAATGAGACTGAAAAGGGTAACAAAACGTTAGATGTCCTCTACCTTAAAAATGGTTTAGGCACTTCTGACTCCATCTCGTAGCGAGGGTGTTCAAAGTGAGAACGGATCGGCAGGCACTTGTCAGTGCAAGGTACAGCAGTAACACGATTTCACAATGCAGCACAGGAAAGGGAATGCGCATCGTGATACCGATGCTCGTGACGCCTCCCCACTTCTCTACTAGCTGGCCGGATTCCCAATAGATATGTCGAGACAGCAGTGAAGTGAGAACAAAGAGTAGAGGAGAAACAGAAGAGAGACCTTACTCTTACAAAATTCCTTTAAAACACGTATTTTGTTAATGAGGCTGCTTTGGGTCAGTGTTTTTATGAGAAACTATTAACTTTCGTGATAACCAGCACATTTCCTCGTCCGCGATTCCATTTCCCTTAGGGACGAAACTCTAGATTAAGTCGAACTGCTAAGAGAGATCAGTGACGTTGAGGTCTGGCGTCCTCTCAATTGCATGAAAATCTGATAACTTGCAAAGCTGGCACGCTGGTTTTTTCTGGCAACACTGAGTACGTGGTGATGGCTGAATTGGGGGGGAGTCGAGCAAGAGGATCGCCAAGGACAACGTTCAATGGAGGAAAAGAGCTATGTAATGTGCTAACTGCTTGTTTAACCCTCGGTTCTTGCAAAGTGACCGATCAGGTGGTCCGCCATTGTACTTCCGTCAGGTGAGCTGGCCTGTGGGTCATACCAGTAGCCCCGATACCTTCTGTTGGCCAAGAATACATATTTTACCTAAACATTGCCTTCTTTCGTCTTCAGGGAAGTCACGTGGCGATACATATGGTTTACTGACGGATGGAATGGTTGAAAGGCTGCTTGCATGGCAAGGAGGATGTGGCATTGGCTGAGTGTCTTTAAAACAGAAGAAGAGAGTTAAGCAAAAAATAATTTTTGAGGTCATTTGTCAACTTATCTTCAAACGCTGTTTTTTGCACTTCCCCAAAATCATACCCAAAGACAATGGTGCCTTAAACTATTATCATTGCTAAGAAGCTTTACTTTTAAATATTTGGGGCAAGAGTGAGGGAAAAATATCTGGAATGACATTAGTGCAATACGATGGTTGTTTAGCTTTCGGTTTTAATGAAGAGACACTTTTGACTTGGCCATTGTACCACGCCGGGTAGGCTGGTCTTTGGTCCATGCCAGTAACCCAAATACTTTCTATGTGTCGAATACGTGTAATCTGCAAGAGTATTATTCCTTCTTTCGTCTTCAGGGAAGTCCCGGGACGATAAATTAGTGCCGTTTCGTTTTTTTAAACGGAGTGCCAGTACACTATCACATGCAACAAATTTCTGAAGTGATCCACATTTGCATTAATTGTAACTTAGCATTCGTTTAGTTTTAATGGGTAAACGTGCAATCAACTCCAAATATGTCCTTTTATAAATATGAATTTATTAAGAGCCAAATTAAACTATTACTTTTAACTTTAAGAAGGTTGGGTAAAATGTGTAGAAAAATGTATTTTCCAAAGCTGACACATTGGTTGAGCTGAAATGGGTTATCAATACGTCATAAAGAAACAAATAGGCCTTAGTGAAATCAAGTCTGTCATCAAATGTAATTCCATGCAATTTTTGTAAGCATTAATTTCATAGATAAAATTCACCCATTAATGGCAAATTTCGACAAAACTGCAATGAAAAAATTATGGGAAGTATTTGCCTTTCACTGGCCATGGAAGTCTCTCTCTTGTTAAAAATGGTGTTTATGGGATTTTATGCCTATCTATTTGTTAATTCTTTCCAAGTTTAAATTAGGCGAAACGTAATCTTAATCGGTTTAGCTCATAATTTTAATTGCAATTGACTGAATCTCAACAGAATCACCAGGCATTAGATTACAGCATTTTACCAAAACAGATCCGAATGCTTTTAACCGAACATGGATGTCACCTAACTATGCTGTAATACGATAGTGGTTTATCCCTCGGTTCTGGTGAGGCGCCACTTTGAATTAGCCCCCTCGTACCTCGCTGGGTGGGCTGACCTTTTGGGCCATGCCAATAGTCCAGACACCTTCTCCGTGCTGAATATATACATTCTGCCCGAGTATTGTGTCTTCTTTCGTCTTCGGGGAGTCTCGGGACGCTACATTGGTGACAGCAGAAAGCGAACCCGATCTTAAAAGACATGTATCCTGATTTTCCACTTCTCCGTGATAAGCCTTAGTGGAGTGGAATAAGTACATATGCTACGGATGGGAGAATGGTGATGACCCCTAATAGAAGGATTGATGTTGACGTCTACCTTCGGCATCTCTCCCAGTCCCCTGTTCTGCAGAAAAGCCATTAACGAATGAAGCAACACTAGTCGTGAACCATCTGGAAGTTTCGTTACGGGTTTCCCCTACCGTCCCCCATGGATCTGTTCTAAATCTTGTACTTCCTTACTCAAATCTGCTTTTAGGTCAGTGTTCCTGCATCTATCTATGGACACGCATGATGGCCGGCGCAGTTCCCCGTCCTGAATCAAATCCCTAAACCGGACGAAACCCCAGATCCAGTCAAGCCGCCAAGAGGGATCGGTGACGTTGAGGTCAAGTATCCCCTCAGTTGGGCACTAATTTGGTGACTGGCACGGTCGGCTCGTGGGTGTTTCTTTACTGCACCGACTACGTTGCAATGGCTGATGCGGGAGGTTGACCTGTGGGAGCGCCGGGGACGACGCTCAAAAGAGGAGGGAGGCTATGTAATACGATAGTGGTTTATTCCTCGGTTCTGGTGAGGCGCCACTTTTGTACTTTGAATTAGCCCCCTCGTACCTCGCTGGGTGGGCTGGTCTTTTGGGCCATGCCAATAGTCCAGACACCTTCTCCGTGCTGACTATATATATTCTGCCCGAGTATTGTGTCTTCTTTCCTCTTGAGGGAGTCTCGGGACGCTACAATACAGATTAAGGATGTCCAGCATAAAACGCTCTTGTTTGTGCTTGTTTCCTAAGTCAAATTACATAAGACAATTAATTTTTGCTACAAGTAAAGTTAGTAGCCTAGACTGTAACCAGGTGTTCAGTTACGACTTTACAGAAATTTAGTCGATGTCATTCCAGTTTTCATGCAGGATTATTTGGTGTGCGACCATAGCTTGCTGAATCTAGGAAAAGCCTCAAAACTTCGATCCTAGTGTAAACATGAAAAAAAGTTGGTCGGATCTCCTCTTAGCACTCTCGCATTAAAATAAACTTAATCTTACCATTATTAGACAGCATTACGAATGCCCATATGTATTTTATTAGGTCAGAACCAAAATAATCACCAGTAGAAACTGCCATTGAAAATACTGCTATTGTGCATTGTACGACCAGGACTAGTAAGATTCCGGTTTATTTTCCTCCACAGTAGTAGTCCACAAATTGGAAAAAGTAGTAGATAAAATGAAATCGTTGAAGTGCATCATACATGCCAGAATTGAATTAAATCCGACATTAATAAAGACGTATTCAATAACGGCCATGCATCTCAGAGTGGCTCGTCTACAGAGCCTTCAAATCGCAGGAAGAGTATTTCAGCCATTCAGAAAGCACAGTGTTTGCCATGCTGCGTCATAACATTCCGACTTCAGGAAAGTCTCGAAGCAGGCCACATTTTCATGTGGAAGTAATGCCTAGACATCTGAATATTATTTGTTCATCAGCGGTTTACCTTAGATACCATGGATAATTGCATAGTATATGGCAGATTTTTTTAACATTCATACAATTTCCTTGCACTCCTGGTTTAAAATTATTTCTAAATACAAAATAATGGACTGCACAATGCATACTATCGTTTCGCGGTAACGGAAAGCAAATACGATTTAGTTAATGCTATTGCACTTTATGCTCGCCAACTTTTTGCGTGATAAAATAAAAAAAGCCAAGGAATGCTCTTTATCTCTTTTGAGCATTTTACAGGTAACGTTTTTAAACAAAATACAAGTTTGGAGTTTTTATTACTGAAATTGTAATGTGTGCCTCCATCCCATTCCTATCTCTCGAATAATACCCGATGACTAAAAGGTAGGAAACTCTAAAGGATGCATAATAAAGAGACGTTGGTTCGACCTTTACACATTCCTTCGCCCATCCACTATCCTCCATTCTTCATACCCGAGTATGTAAATAACCGCATGGGACTCAACTTTGAACTGATTTAGTAATCCGAGCTACTTCATGAGAAGTAAATTTCCCACAAATTCAAGAGGTCTTTGGCAATAAATATCTGCAGTGCACCATCTTCCGGAAATGAAGCGGCACTGGGCGAAAGAGGAGCGGGCAGTGAATGAATAGGCTTAAAGCAACTAATAATGTAAGAAAATATAAGGCAGAAAGGGCATTTCCAAGAGTGAATTGACTATTTTATACATTAATTTGATCAAGATTTATCTAAATCAACAAACATTTGGCAACGTTCCATCACCGGTGATGAAATTGTAAAATTCACGGCCGTCTCATTCTGTAATAAATGACTTGGGTTGCAAACAGAAATTGAACCGACCGATTCACCATTGTCTTCATTACAGTTT